AAATTATCTTCTTTTAAATTGACTCATGAATTTGTTATAGTTTTTTATTATACATATGAAAGGAAAAAAAATTATAAATGCTTCACTTAATGAAAGTAAGAATAGATTTACAACTATCTTAGGTCTTCACAAGCTTATTGTTATTCTTATGAAAGAAATTTTATATATTACTAGTGTCAATTATCAAAGTATTATTCTTATATCTATTAATAAAATTAAAAATTATCTAATATTTATACCAAAAAATTATGGAATTGAAAAAAATATTCAGATCAATCTTATAATTGTAAAAAAAAAAAAAAAAAAAAAAAAAATCTTGCTACTATAAGTATAAAAAAATAAAGATTAGTATATTAAAAAAGTTTGATAGAAAAAAATAAAAAATTTAAAGATTTCTATAAAAAGTTAAGCTTTATTTAAGATCACATTTTGCTTAATATCTTAAAAGACTTATTCAAAAGGAATTTATATGTGTATTTTTATCTAAAAGTATTTTTTTTTTCTTATGATGGAAAATAAATCACAACTTTTATATGATCTAAACTCATAAATGGATTTTTTACAACTACATTTTAAAAAATTAATTAAAAAAAGATAGCTAAAAAAAAATTCTAATTTTATAACATAAATTACTATCAAATACCATCTAAGTTGCCAAATTCTAAAGCCTTGCTTGCAACATGGATTGAAATAATAATGCTTTTATCAATCAATTTGGATATGAGTTAAAAAATAATGATAGAGATTTATTATCAATATTATAAATAAACTATTATTTAAGCTATTACATACAACAATAAATTCTTTGAAATGCATCAAAAATAAGTATTTGATTAGAAAAGAAGAAACCAAGTAACAACAACAATTTCCAAGTTTTTAGAAACTTATTCATTAATTTAATAACTTATAAAAATAAATGCAACACATTTTAAATTTCTTATTGAGTAAGAAAATATTCAATGATATTAAAAAGAATTATGCTAATATTATAGAAAATCTAAGCACTTTATTCAACATTGTTCGACAAAGTGACACAACTATAAAATAAAAGCATAGTTATCAATAAAAAAAAAATGTATCATAATGTTTTTTTTGTCTGGCTATAATACATATCATGTAGCTAGAATATTTTATAATACTTAATAAAGTTTCTATTTTCTTTTTAAAAATATCATATTATTTTATAATAGATATTTTTTAGGATCTAAAAATTACAAAGTCTCTACTTTATTACATTTAGGATCATGAATTTGTTTTTAGATTAAGACTTTGTTTAAAGATATATTATATTTTTAATAAAAAAACAAAGTCTATACATGTAGAAGTCGTAGATGATTGTGTTTTGTCTTCCAAAGATGTTATCTATGAAATTATCTCTTTAGAAGTAGCAAAAAATGATATTAATAATTTAATAAAAATTTATATTATTAAATATTCATCTAACCTAATTATTTTAGGATTATTATGATTAAAAATATGTAATCTTAAAATAGAATTGAATTCTTCTAATCTTGATTTTATTCATAGTATAACCAAGGCTTTTGCTAATCAAGTAGAAAGTGATAGGTCTAGTACAACCAAATTCTTATTTGTAGGTACAAGAGCTTTTATACATGTTGCAAAAGAAGTGTCATCTTTTCTTATTTATGCCATACTTATTTCTAATACTAAAAAGACTTCAAGTAGTATATTAAATCAATATAAAGATTATTAAGTTGTTTTTTTAGAAGAAAAATATAAATATTCTTTTAGATCTTTGTTCTTATGATTACTTAATTGATATTTAAGATGAAATTCAACCACCATTTAGATCAATGTGCATCTTATTACATAATAATTTGACTTCAATCAAAGATTGTAATGATGAAAATTTAGCCATGAATTATACATGCCATTTAAAATCTCTAGCAAGAGTGCCTATTTTATTTGTAAAGATAAAAAAAAAATGAATCACTACGGATATATGTAGATGATCAAAGATTCAATATAATTACCATAAAAAATTATATGTTTTATTTTTAATATCATGACTTTTAGATCAGTTAAATAAAATAAAGATTTGTACACAAATAAATCTACAAATAATACACAATCTTGTATATTTTAAAAAAAGAAATAAATAAAAGAATATATTTTGAAACATGTATTAGTATCTTGAACATAATGTCATATATTGTAGATTCACAAATGTGGTAGTTATTTTTTAAGATCTAATGAATGATTTTTTTTAGAGTTACTTAATGATTTTTTATTTTTTAATTTAAATAATATTTTAATTTACTTAAAGAATTCAAAAGAGTATAAACTTTATAATTATATATTATAAAAACTTAGAGATGTATAATTATACAAAAAAATAGAAAAGTGGATATTTATTAAAATTTAAGTTGATTTCTTAGGATGTATTATTTCAAATGATGGACTTATAATTGATTTAAAAAAAATTCAAACTATCATAGATTGAAAGATTTAAAGAATAATAACAAATATCTAATATTTTTGGAATTTATCAATTACTATCAAATCTTTTTTATGATTTTTTTTCACATTGTAACTTCATTTATATAGATGACTTATAAAGTCAAAAATTAGTAGGATCAAGAAGTTAGACTAGTATTTCAAGCTTTGAAGTAAATTCTTATTATAACACAAATCTTAAATTGCGTTGAATTTTTCAATGAATTTTTATATAGAAATAAGTACAATGGACTTTGAATTGGAAGTAATATTATCATAAATAAATATATCAAAAAGAAAAATAAATATTACTTTTTTATATAGAAGTCAATATCAATATATTAAAATAAAAGAGACTTTGAGTTCAAGAAAAGACTATTAATTTTTGGTAATATTATAAGAAGTAGGAACCACTTAATGGTGTTTCAAATGTTTTATTTGAAGGAAGACATAAAAACTTCAAAAATAATCAAATAACATGGTAATTTTTTTGTCTTTGTATGAAATACAATTGATGGTTGACTAGACCAATTAACTATCTTCAAAGAAAATAAAGATCAAAATATGTGGCAAATATAATTTATTGCATCTTAGACTTCTTCAATATATGATCATTGCTCCATGTAGAACTCAATTATATAACAGAGAGAATATCACAAATATATTAATATTATTAAAGATTAATAAATCATGTAGAAATATAAATAAATTTAATAATAGCTTTTAGAATAGATTATAAAATTAAATTTAATAATAGATATGGATTCAACTTCCCAAATATTTGTAGGTGATTGATATGTTGAAAACTTAATCAAGAAGTTGACCAAATATCACACATGTTGGCAACTTGCTTTATAAGTAGACTATGTGGCACACATATTAGAAACTTATCTTGTAAGTTAGACACATGTTGGATGATTTATAAAGAATCACCACATATTTTTTTTTTTTTTTTTTATTAAGATGGTATTTATGGAGGCAAGAGCAAGGCCTTCTTCACTTTTGTTAAGGCATTTCTAGTGTTATTGTCATAAATTGGTGATCTCTAGTCTCTTTGTATTTGGTAATGGCCATTCTAATTTCTATCTTATATCTATCTTTGATTTATCCATTTTCTTTTTTTAAGTGTTACAAGAGTGTATTACTTCTTAATAGTTTTGTTATGATTCAAGTCTTAGACACAATATTATCAATCAAAATTAAAAACATCAAATATAAAATTTTAAGAAATAATTATTTATAAATATATTTGAAATTTGAAATTAAGTAATAATTTGCAAATAATCAATGATTTTAAATTTATGATCTTAAAATTTTATTTAATCTTTGATTCATAATATAAATATTATTATTAGGTACAAGTTTAAATTTATTATTTATAAAATCTTAAAATAAAGTATCTTTTATTAAAAGAGATATAAAATAATAGTGTCTACGAATATTTCATTTATCAAGTATTATAATATATGTATAAAAATTAATATTTTTTTAAAATTAAAACTAATTAAAAATTAAATATATTTTAGTTGTGAGACAAATAAGCATATTTTATCTTAGTAAAAAAAAACATATAAGCACTTGTTATTAATTGTAAATAATATTTTAAAAAAATTATAAATAATAAGTGAGGTTTTTTGAAAATTTTAATAAATATTTTTACTACAATAAAAATTTATAAAAAATTTAAAAATTTAATTTATTTTTTATAAAAAGATTTAATTTTAAGAACTAAAATAATAAATAATAAATTTTTAAAAAAAATATAAATAAGTAAAATATAAGTAAAAACATGCTAATTTTATATAATCTTATATTCTATATAAAATTAAAATATTGATAAGAATTTTTTAAAGAGAATTACAAATGTCTTGTCTTAGTTAAGTTAATAGTACATATAATTTTTAAAATGCTACATATGGTAACTTCTAAAATAATTATGATTTATCGTGTTATATAAATAGATAATTTTGGATCTTCAACTAAGTTCTTCTAATATTTATTATTTTAATGATCTAAAATATTAGAGAAGAAATTACATGAAGAAGTATTTAGCTTGAAAATTCATACAGATTTTTTTCTTCTACTAAATAAATAAATAAATTCTAAGAATAAAATCTGTACTTAATAAATTTCAAATTCAAAAAGTATGAAATCTATTTTTTTTTATTTTTAGAATCTCTTTTTGTAATATAGCATATGTAAAATTGGTAAAATTGGTGAAATTAAGAAATAAAAATTTTAGATGTTTTATTTGAATATTAAAAGATAGACTTTTGGACAAGTAAGGTAAAAATAAAATAAAATAAAATAAAACAAATGCAGCATTGCTGCCGAACCTGAGTGACATCGTAATGGAACAGCCACTGGATGCGGGTCCACAAGGGAATGGATGCGCACGCACCGGAAACGAGACACGCGAACAGAGTGGGGAACGCGACGGACAACTGGCGACGTCCGTGAGGGCTCGTCCAACGACCGACGGAGAAAGCGGCGTCGGAGGGATGACGGCGAGGGAGTGAGTAAGGGAGGCGCAAAGCAATGGAGCTCGGAAGCGAGGGCGAGAGAGAAAGGGAGCTGTGGTGGCGCAAGAGAAGGAGGAGGTAGAGGAGGTGGAGAAGGAGCAATCGGATCCTACGGAGAGTGTTATCAACGAAGATCTTGTAGCAGAATCCTTGCATGCATGCATGCACATGGGGAGCGAGTAGGGTAAGAGTGAGTGCGTGGGCGAATGCTTCTGTTCCTAATCGCGAGACGAGGGTAATGTGTGGCTGCAACGGGCAGGTTCATCGCAACGGAATGGATCGACGCCGCAGGGACGCAACTGCCCACGTGGAATCCTAAATCTGTGGGACCGATGAGATAGATCTGGGAGTCGTTTCGGGAAAGAAGCCAATCTCAACCGGACTGAGGGCAGTTCAGAAATTCAGAAGCTAGGGTTTAGTGGTGGACCCGTGTGTCTATCGATGTGGGCGCCATAGATTATGCTGCTGCTGTAGGTCTCTCCAGCTAAGTGCGCTAGCATGCTTGCCGTAGTGTGTCGCTTTTCCTTTGCGAATCTGTTGGGGCGTAACTGGTGACGAGTACTGCAGTTATTCAAAGTGAAAGGGCCCGCCCAACTTCCCGAAAGTGTTTCTGTCGCTCCGACACGTCACTGGACTGGGTGTTGCAGAATCTACATGTGGACGAATGGGTTGGAGTTGGTGGAAGGGATGGTGGACGAACGTGGACTGGGTTTGTTTCTAGAAATGTGACAAATGTGGAGGAATTGTGGAGTGGAGGAGGGAATGGTCGCCGAGGGTCGACGAGTAGGAGGAGGAGGTGGAGGAGGGAGAGGCTCGAAACTGGAGGTTCCCCGCTTCTTCCTCCGGCATTAGGCCCTATCACATGCGCTTCGCAATCAGCGCAGAAAGGCTACTAGGATTGTGATAGTGAGAGCAGTTGCGAGCAGAGTTTGGGGCTAAGCAATTGACGGCGTGTTGCACCGGACAATTAGGGTTTGACGTTGGCGGTGAGTTTTCGCTGAATGGAGTGGCGGTGTAGATGTAGGTGAGTTTTGGGTGTGAGCTTGGGATCATCACATGGTCGGAGCCGCGCGGGGGATATGGACTTGGAGAGGTGGCAGCCAAGGGATGTCAAGGAATCAGTTTGATGGTGTAAGCGGGTGTGGGATACTGTGGATGTGATGAAGGTGGTGTAGGTGAAAGTGGATGCTGCTGTGGCTGGCCTTTGGGTTTGGTCTTGGTGATGGGGGTTTAGATGGCGATGACAGTGGGAGAGACGAGGTGTGATGAGGAGGAACGGGGTGGAGCTGCGAATTCCTCTTGGAAAGGACAGAATGCACTTTGGCTGGACGAGCAGCCTGATTTGTCAGGTTTTCGTTGTGAATAGCCTGGTGGGGGCTTTAGCTTTGCAGCAGTGCTTGTGCATATCGGTTTACAGGTTTGGAGAATCTGTCTTTTTGCGGACACTCTAAGCCGCTTGGAATGCGGCACTGTGCTGGTTTGCGAGTTCAACAACGGTTGTTGGAGTTTGGGAGCATGTTTGTGTATGGACAACAGGACTTGGTTGGTAATCGTTTTACTTGCGATTCACTCTTTACTAGCTTGGTTGAAGGATTATCTTGTTAACTTTGAGACTCCTCCTCATATCACAGGCATGGTTTATCTATTCGCTTGAAGACAGTAGTGTATTCCTGTAGGTCGACTAGTGTACCTGCAGCTGCCATCGTCAGCCTAGGCGGGTGGTGCTGCTCGTTTGACTTTGCTTAGCGTTTCTTCAGAGCACGTTCCTTGCAGAATATCACAGAGGCACACGCCTCAAACGTGGCATTCAGATGCCCATACTACACGTGCTCACGCTTCACATTTCTATAACTCAGTAATAGGCAACATGCGGCGTTCCCATGCATGAATTGTGCCTTCCGCACCGCTATTGTGTAGATTTGAAGGTTGGACCTCATTATGAAGCGATTTGAAGAGCTAATTGTTGGTCGTAAAAGTAAAATTTAGGGGCAATTACGTTTTTGAGGACAGTTTGGTTGTGTTTTGGAAGAACATAAAGCCTTTTAGATGTAAAAGAAAGAAAGGAGGTTAATTGCAGCTGTTCATTCATAACGTGAAATCCGATGAACATGCCGCATTCAGTATTTGGAGTTAGAATTTTAGTTCTGACTGGTTGAAGCACTGAAGGAGTGGCTAGGTTTACGAGTTGCCGCCCTCAGGTCTTCTGCATCTTCATATAATCTGAGGGGTATGGAAGATTTTAGTGGCTGCATAATCACGGTTCTTCTATCAGTTTACCGTATCTAGGGCTGGAACTAATTGTATGGTAGTATTTACACTTGAATCTATTTTTGAGAATTACGTTCGGAGGCGTAGTTGGTCGGATCTCGAGAGTGCAGGAATATTGCACCTTAATTTTTAATTTTTATTAATTTATTATTTTTTTTGTCCTTATGCTCTATGGCTAAACATGTAGTTAAGGAAATCCTTGCGTTTTACTGGCGTTAGGTCCGGCCTTGCTCAATAACTTAGTTTTTGGGCAAGAATAAAAGGCTCATCTTTGGCTTAGTTCTTTTGATTTAGCTCGATGTAGTTGCTTACATCAACTAATTCTTTTTACTTTTTTTTACATTCTCTGAACGCGAGACCTTGGTAGGGCATTTAGGTCTTCCAGGCGCGTCTTTTGATTCACCTTGCCTTTTTACTTATATTGCGATATTCAAGTCATTCGGGAACTTTGTTTAGAATTTGATGGAAGAATGAGATAAATGTTTGTCTTTTGTTTATTCATGTTAACATCATCAAGAGGCAGAGCAGAAATTATATGAATTTTCAATTGGAATTCTATGTTGGGTCTTGTTTGCGAGTAGTTTATGGTTCATGTCATTGCCTCCTGTTGCGAACACTTATTTTTTTTGGCTGCACATGCAGGTGTACATCAGAGGCTGCGGTATTGGTTGGTTAAAAATACTACTCTACATTCACAACTTCGTATTTGCGGCACCGTTGATACGAGTACTCTCGTGAAATTTTTTGGAATCAATATTGAACGGGATGAAAGATCTCATGGTGAGGAATTAGAATCTGTGGTTTCTCCTCAAATTTTCAGAGCTCGTTGGCAGGAGCTGACTCTGCATGTATAATCTAATGCATTCAGCACACTGTTTGTGCTTTCTTTATACGAGATGACGGAGAATCAGTTGAAGTAAAGATCAACTTGATATATGGAGAGTTCGCAGCTTAGTGAAGCTGAAACAATAAGATACAGTTCTTCATCAGCTTTGGGGTTCACGACACTATTTTTTACCAAGGATCCTAGTTTATTTAAGGTGCTGTGAACCGTCTACTTCCTTGTACAAGCTCCACAACGTGTGCTGCAATACGAATGTTCAAGTACTGCTTTACTGGACATATCTGTGGGGGCTTGAGATATATAATATAGATGGAGGTGGATTCACACTACATTTACAGTCCGCTTCGTAGTGAAGTGCGGACTTCAAGGCGAAGACAATGCCTTCGATGTATTAATACTCTAATGCAGCTACCAAGGTTATTTTATGACTACATCTTTTCTAGCTTTACGTTTGATAATTCTCCACGGGATATTCAGGCTTACAAGAAATTATTACAATTAAACTTGTGTGCAGTCATTTCCACTACTCTTGGAGGCATTTGTCTATTTGAGCTTTCTGCTAAGCCACTGATCCAGGCAATGGACCGCTCACCAATTTTCCCCCTATATTTTCCTCATGCTATTGGGTTAGCTCTTGCGTGCAAGTATCAGGGTTCTGTTCTGATGGGAAATTTTTTGGGGTTTTACCTCTCTCGCCTCTATCTGGTTATACGTGGACCCACTTACTTGAATGTTAGTCGAGCTCTCTTCCTTATCATGATAGCATTACTTGGAGTGTTGGAGACTCACATCGGGGCGTGGTTGATGCATCACTACTTGTGTCGAGCCCACGCTATACGGAAGATGGTGCCAACTATCGACAATGTAGCTCAAGCCTTCTTTTATATTTTGATCGTCCTCGGTACGACCTTGGTTTTCGACTCATTGATCGCTGTAGTTGTTTGCTTATCAGAAATTATCGCCTGGACCAGTTTCTTACGGTTCTGGGCAACATGGTGGCTAGGCGTAATTGCGGGAATGTTGACTGTCTCCCCTGCAATCATTCATCTTCTGGCCATAGAAATACCCACCTCCTTTTCAAAGCCACCAAATTATTTTAATTTGGTGAAGTCCATTGTTCTATGGGCTGTTGTGCTTGTTGTTCTTTTTCTGGTATTCTTTTTTTCAGTCCAGAGCATCATAAGGCCGTTACCGTATCTGGTGTTCCCCCTCATTATATTTGCCTCTTTCCGATTCAATCGTGTCGGATGGGCCTTAGTTGTAGCAGTTATCTCTCTCTCCTGTGCTTGGGGTACACTACATCGGAACAGCTCTCTTTACTATATGGCTGGGGCTCCAGCCGATAAGGCATCGCCAAGTCTCATTCTTCAGATTGAACTTTTTGTATCTGTAATGGGGTTAGTCGGCATAGTGCTGGCTGCTGCAGTCAAAGAAAAGATACAATTGACAAATGATCTCAACAAAGTGAATAATGACTTGGAAGAGACTGTTGCTACGAGGACAAATGAATTAGTGAAGGCTAATCACGAGCTCATGATATCTCAGAAGAGGGCAGAGCATGCTAGTCACGCAAAATCAGACTTCCTTGCCAACATGAGCCATGAAATAAGGTAATTTTTTCTCTGAGCTTTTGTTTTGGCACATAATGCAGGCCATGGGTTTCTTCAACTAACTAGGTTTCCTGTGACTGTTTTAGCAGTTATTCCAAGCAATGCAAGAAAAGTAGTCTTATTCATGGATTATGTGGAATGACTACACGGTTTAGAGTTTTGACATCATAATTAGTGATTTGACTCTTGTTACCTTCATGCAGTTTGTCATTGTTTGTGAGTCCACAAGCTGCTATTATAGTTGCTAATCAGCTTTCCTGAGTTTTTCTGTTCCTATTTTTGAAACCATGTAACAAATGGCATGCGTTTTGTTCTTTGATTTGATTAATATCGTACTTCTCGGTTCTGACAGTAACTCGAAACTGTACAGGACTCCTATACACGGAATACTTGGGCTAACTGCACTGTTGCTCGAGTCTCAACTGACTGCTGATCAGCGTGAAAGTTTGATGTCCGTGAAAGAGTGTGCTGACTTGCTTCTGCACATCATAAATAGTGTGCTTGATCTTTCTAAGATCGAGGCGGGACGCTTGGAAGTCGAAACTGTCCCATTCAGCATTCGGAAAATGGTTTCTAGTACTCTTCGAATTATGCAAGCACGAGCGCAAACTCATAATTTGCAGTTGCTATGGCACATTGATGGTGAAGTACCAGATAGTGTTGTTGGGGATCCAGGGAAGCTTCAGCAGTGTCTTTTAAACCTCGGTATGCTCTTTCTCGGCTTTATGGTTTTAGTTACTCTTTTTACTTACCATCCTTTAAAGTGCGCATATGCACCTCAAGACATAAATCCCTCCATTGATACCGTTGAAATTATCTTCGCACAACAGCTGCACTACTTGAGTTTTGTCACTGCTGCATTTGACTAATATGCTGTTTGCTTTGTTGTTTTTTTCTGGTAACAAAGTTGGAAATGCATTGAAGTTCACCAATGAAGGCTCGGTGACTGTATGTGTGAGTATGTGTTCACGGAAGGCTCCTCGCACTCCTGCAAGTATCCGTGATCGTTATCGTGATCGTGATGAATCTCAGACAGCTGCACACCAGAGTGTTGAGGTTCATCCTGTTGAAGTGCCTCCACTCTTTCCACGCCTTACTAAACCACCCTCTAGGTTGGCCAAATTGCGGAGTTGGGCAAGCTGGCCGGGGCCTTATTTCAAATTAGACACAGGAAGGTCTCAAAGCTGCACAATTGATGTGCTTGAGTCCCCTGAAAATGATGCTTATTACAACATGCCATCATCTAAAGTGGCTCCTGTTCTAGGTACAGAAATTTGTTCCCAGCCTTCCACCCCAGAAACAGTGGATGTTGAATTTGAGATTCATGATACTGGAATTGGTATCAGTAAGGAAAAACTCCAAGATATGTTTCATCCTTTTACTCAAGCAGATGCATCCACATCACGCCTCTATGGTGGCACGGGGCTCGGGTTGTGTATAGTTCAAAGGTGCCTTTCACCACCTATGATTTGTTTGAATATTTTGCTATCGCCCCACAAGAGTAGAAAAAGAAGGGTTTAAGAGCATAGAGTAGGATATGTATTATACCTCTGATGTTTGTGCTCATTCATTGTGCGATACATATTCTGAGCTAAGTGGTGGCATTATTTTTTCAGAGTATGTACTCATCTAATTCAGTTATGTAGTACAGGTTCGTGGAGCTCTTAGGAGGCGTAATTTGGGCAGAAAGCGAAGTGAACGAGGGTAGTACTTTTAGGTTTAGGGTACCGTTCCGAATTTCTTCTGATACGGACTTCAGCTTCAAGCCTGCAGTTCATCGAAGACAAGGACCGATGAGGTTCTCCTCACTTGATGGTTCTATTCCCCACAAGCATGTACCCAAGAACGGGCTGATGAGACGGGCTCACTCATTGGACGTCCTAATGAGAAATATGAAGTTCACCTTGCCGTCTCTTATTGAAGGTAACGATGGTGAAGAGTCTGTTTCTAGCAAAGGCTCAGGTGGTGCAGTTACAGGCGACAGTAGCAGAAGGGGTAGTTCACTTCAGCGCACCACTGCTGAGGAGGCTATAGCTATATTGCCTGATGAAAACCCCTCTAACGAAAATTCAATTTTGTCTTCTGAGAAACAAGCTTTAAGGCCTGTGAGCTTAGTACCTGGTGGACGGGTGAAATCTGATAGAAGGTCAATGAGAAGTGATTCTGGAGTCTCGGAGGTGACCAGATTAGCTACCAATAGTTCACCTCCAGAGCATAGAATAATCGTCCATCGTGAAGGTCTTCCATCTAGTGTACCAAAGGTTAAATTACATAAATATGAGAAGTCTTATGTTCGGCCTAGAAGCAGTGAAGAGAAGCGTAAGCTATTACCAACTGTAGCATCCTCCACCGAAAAGTCTTCTGTCGAGGGGTCTCAAACTAGCAATCCCTTGACTTTTATCAACGTCGATGACAAGACTCGAGAACCTACCGGAGAGAAGTCTGTGAAAGACGTCACTGTTACAATGCCTAGGGTTGATGAGGGATCAACCTTAGAGCAGCCTTCCAATTCTGTGCCAGCTGAATCATCACAGCAGTCAGATGGAAGTTCTACTCTTAAGAGCAAGTTACTGCCATCACCATTAAGTTCTGATTCGGCGAAAGGGCCCATGATGTCTAGTATGGAGGATGGTCAGCGACCTTTACATATTTTGCTTGCTGAAGATAATCCCATCAATCAAAAGGTTGCTAGCAGGCAGCTGCAGCGCCATGGGCACAAGGTTACGATTGTGAATGATGGCAAGTTAGCTCTGGAAGCTGTCCAAGTGAATCACGAGATGTATGATCTCGTCCTCATGGACGTTCAGGTACAAATTTTTCAGTTCTTAGGGCTCATTGAAGTGGTTATTGGAGTTGCTTGACATTGAGAGGCTCTAACACTTCAGTATGCGATGTTGCTCGAGTTCTCAATACATGCATGATATGTAGTTTCTTTGAACTCAGTATTTTGTGTTGGAGCTATTGTTCATCTTCGTGGTTACAGAAGTTCCACTTTGGTCTGCAGATTGATCATCCTTGCTACGTGATGGTTTTGGGCCTTGTGTTATTCTGTGTAAGAGGCTTTGCCTTGAAGGTCTGCTCCTGGTTCATGGTGGAGTGGTTGTGCATTGCAGATGCCAAACATGGATGGTTTACAAGCGACTGAGATGATACGGGACTTGGAAACTGAGAAAAATTGGAGAAGATTGCCAATACTTGGACTTACCGCCCATGCCATTCAAGGTTATCAACAGACGTGTCTTTCTCATGGCATGGACGGGTACTTGGGTAAGCCATTTGAGATAAAACAGCTGCTCCGGCAAATGCAAGAGCTTCTGTTCTCGAACAGAAATCCCAGAGAATACGGATGATGATTCCATTAGGAAATCTTCGATGCTTTGTAATGTACACATTTTAGATTTCTTCTCCACTTCGGTGCGACAGGCCAAAGGCTTTGTGATACATTCTTGCAATTTTTCCATCGAAGTTGCAATATCGTTGTTGGTGAAATGTGAAATGTCTAGTAGAAGCTTCATCACGCGTCATGTCCATGTGGACGACGCAACTGCCAGCTCTATGCTCATTTTTGAGGACTAAGTTATGCTGGAAACACAGCTGTTGCAACACATCAGAAGCCAGATGTGCCAGCGTTGAGGGGTAAGATTAATGTGATTTGTGAAGCTTGAGTCCAACTTGAATTGTACCTATTTAGCTTTGGTTCAAATCTGTTTGTGAAGCATTGATTTCTACATCTGTGATGTGTACTAACTTCTGTGGGAGCTTCTTTCAGTACTTCAACCTATGTGGAATCCATGTATGTATTCCTGAGCCCCAAACCTCGCTTAATTTCCACTTTCTTTTACTGTTTGATTGCACATTCCTAACCTGTGAAAATGTAAGATAAACTGAATCTGGAGGTTGGATCCTCCAATGTTTGTGATAGAACACTAGACCAATGTCCAACTCAAACCATCGTTTGTGAACTTCAATTAATACTTTCTTGGACCTGAAACATTTCTTGTCAAAAAATGTTGATCCTGTAACTGATGAAATGCAATACAAAAGTTACGGCTTGTTTATTTTCTGATTATTATATTTAAGCATCTTATCACATTGAGCACAAATATATTTTTCGTAAATTCCATTCAATCTCATGCTTTGGAGAAGTGTTCCATTCTGGAGACGCATGTTATATAATTTCATTGAAAACTCTGATTGGTAAATTGAAAGTAAACATTTATGAAACTCATATTTAGTTATCTCGTAAATTTTTATATTGCACACAAAATTATTCCTTCTTTCATTATATAGATTGCATATGCTAGATATAAAAGAAATATCCATGCTGCAGAGATCAAGTAAAATAGTATAACTCTTGCTTCATTACTGAATTACCAAACACAATGTTCACACTAACCATCAAATTTGGTTCCCAAAATACACAAGGATAAATAAAAAAAAACATGCAATAAGTGGCTTCCCCCCCCCCCTTTTTTTTTTTTTTTTTTTTTTTTTTTTTCCGGTAGAACTGTGGACAGAAATAATAACATCATTCTGAACAATAATTACCCGCTTTATTTCTAATGAATGATTGCAACAACCACAAGCCTTGATCAATAAATGTCCCTTTTTCAACAACAAAGTCCCAACAATCTCTATTTTATTTTATTTTTTTATTTTTTTTTTCTATTTGGTGCACACAATTTGATGCATTTCTTGATCATTGCCTTGCATACAATGTGCAAAAGCAACTGTAATCAGTTACTATTACCAATTTACAATTAAAAGCCTAAATTTCATCGAAAAGTTTTTGTTTGTTTGTTTGATGTTACTGCCATTTGATAGAAAGAAGTAAACTTTACAATGGATAGAACTTTTTTTTCACTTGTTACAAGTATTAAACGTAAATGGAATATAGAATATATAAGATTCCTATTTAAAACAAATTAAAAAGAACATGAACAAATACATAAATGAAATGCTTCTAACAATATTCTAATGCCTCAGAGAATAAAATTAATAATGAATTTGGACTTTGTTACAAAAATTTAGTTCAGTTTCGTTGTTAGTTTGTTTATTTCTTTTGTTTCTTTATAATCTTTTTGCAATCATAAATGGAAAAATGAATCACAAAGATTTTTTTATGAAGGGTTAGGAACAAAAAATGGAAAATGGAAAATGGAAAAAAATAAAAAAATAAAATAGAAAACCCAATACTTCACTCCCCCAACTAAACACAAAAAAGGGGAATTTTATCTATTTATTTATTTAATTTCCACTCCATGTGCCAAGTTGAGCACTTTCAAGTGGGCAAGTTGTCACCATGAGAACAAAAACTTCATTCATCAAATCAACGACGTTCATCCACAATCGCCAACGCCGCGAACGGATCGCGAGAACGCAATGGGAACAACGTTCTCAGAAAGTGGATGAAGTATAAATAGACGAATGAATAAATGAACGAAGGACGAATGAAATGGGATGGATGACGTATGGACGGATGATTACAGGATGGATGAGAGGATGGCCAATGTGTGGATGAATGTATGGATGGATGTAAGAAGCCTCCCCTACCCCCTCTCCCCTCGTGGGGGTGTGTGTGTTGGCTTCCCTTCCTCCGTTTCCGTTTCCATTTCTTCCCGAGCTCGGAGGTGAGAGTGAGTGAGTGAGTGAGTGAGTGTGATTCATTGCTTCCCTTCCTTCCTCCTCTTGCTCCCTCCCTCCATTCCTCCTGCGCTCTTCTATTTGCCTACTTCTTCTTCTCCTTCTTCTCCTCCTTAGCCCTAGTATTTGGATCCCCTTTGATCGCTGCTTTGTGTCCATTGCAGGAGGAATTTTGGCTTATTAGGAGATTGAATTTGACCTTTCCACCAGGTACGCTGCGCTTTTCTTTCGTTTATCTTATTAGTAGTATTTGTGTTTTTATTACATTTTTTAAAAATGTGTTTTGGTGGAGTTTTCAATTTGGAGGATTAGAGATCTGTTTTAGCTTGGCGATCTGAGGCGCGGGGTCGGATTGGACGGGGTTAAGGTTGAGAGCAGCGAGAGAGAGGTTAAATTGCAGTGGTGTTGGCTACGACATGGTGCTTCGTTTTTTCTTTAGGAGTGCGGCATAATCTGATCTGTGGTTTTATTTTTAGCTGTTAATTGAGCTTCGAGTTGCACTGCAGCTTAGGGTAGGTTGCGTTTCTGGCTGAGAAGTGTTTGATTGTGAGAAGTCGGTGCTTGATGATCTTCATGCGTTTGTTTTTGTTTGTTTGTTTGTTTGTTTTTTCTTTTTTCTTTCTCAGCGGGAAGTTTCGGTTAGTTGAATGCAGAGAGGCGGGTTTTGTAGTAGCGCAGAGTTTTTGTGGACGCTGGCAGAGGAGCAGAGGGCCTGGAGATAGTGTGAAGTTGGATCTATCTCTAGTGAGTGGCGGACTGCAACTAGCATCATGGCGACAAGAGCTCGGGCTGACAATTACGATTACCTTATCAAGCTGTTGCTGATTGGTGACAGTGGTATGTATCACGTATCTTTGTTGCACGCAGGAAATCAAATTCTTTTGAAGCATGTGGCTTCTTCCATGTTTTTTCTGTTCGTTGAGTTTCATGCCAGAATGTACTTGAGTTTGTTGTTGAGTTATGTGAGGTTACCCTCATTGCATAACTTGAAACTTGAGTTTTTAAGGGATCTTTTATTACAAGTCAATGTATGCGAGCATGTTCTTGTGGTTATACGGCACGTAGTTTTCATTCAGCTAACCCGATTGTTCAATCCTTCAGCTAAATGTAGTGGTTGGTCTATTCAGTATTGCTTTGAGGTATAGGTCGTCTTGGAAAAAAAATTAGCTGTAGGAATGCCATCTGCAAATGACACTCTCTTGATAACTTCATAGTTCGCATATCCATGCTAAGCCTTGCTAATGTAAACCATATGCAAGACATCTCGAAGCACATTACTTGGTTCGTTGATCTGCATTCGTGTTTGGTTTTGGATTTGGGCATTTTAAAGTCGAGAATTGCTTAATTAGGTTTATAGGAGTGCGTAAGCTTTGTGAAATGGCTTTTGTTGCACTTAGCCCTGACAAGTCTCCTTTTCAACTAATTCATGCCGAGTCAATGACTTCTTGATTCGTATCAGCGTTATATTCAAGTTGAAACTAGTGTTTGTTATCTGCAGGGGTTGGAAAATCTTGTCTTCTCCTTCGGTTTTCCGATGATTCCTTCACAACAAGTTTCATCACCACGATAGGGTACGCCTTTTCGGACACGTACTTAGAGCATTTTGCGGTCACATGGAAATAGGCAACTGCTGATTGAGACATGTAAGTATTTTGAATTGGCCTTTTTCTGCTACCTGGCAGCATCGATTTCAAAATTCGGACCATCGAGCTGGATAATAAGCGCATCAAACTTCAGATTTGGGACACCGCTGGACAAGAGCGATTTCGCACAATCACAACAGGTACTTAGCGTTGAACGCAATCGCTGGTATGCACCCCTTCTTTTTGTTTTTTTCTTACCTTTGGCCATGATTGTGGCACCCTGGTGTTGATTTGTGCTGGTCAGGATGGTTGGCTATCGCTCTAGATATCTGTATTATATTTTATTGCAGTATTTATTGTTAATAATTCTTTTCTTTTAAATTAAAATTTTACTTATTTTGGTTTTGCAGCATATTACAGAGGAGCAATGGGAATACTGCTGGTTTACGATGTGACGGATGAATCTTCGTTTAACAGTATCCAATCATTACCTAAATTTGGTTTTTTCTGGTGTCAATCAATATTAGAACATTAATATGTGCTGGCGGTGCTGTATCCATGTTTTAATACGACGTGAATGAGAGATAAGAAAAGGTGATGTGGCCATGACTCAGCTGGTATCAGACATTAGGAACTGGATCAGGAATATAGAGCAGCATGCATCTGACAATGTAAATAAGATTCTGGTGGGAAACAAGGCTGATATGGACCCGAGCAAAAGAGTACGTTTCTGTGACCCAGTCCTACCCTCTTGCTGTACACCTAGTGTGTTGTTAACCTAACGTTGTAACTGGGTATTGTTATCTTGAAGTATACATGGGTTTCAAGTTCTGTGCATCTGGTTTTACTCGATCTATGCCGAGATCGCTGTGAAGCTTAGTGCACCTTTTTGCCAATGGACAGTTTGAACACTTGAATAATTTCAATGTGTGCTTTGGTATTCAGTCCTGGTTTGTGTGTCCCAAAATGTTACCTTTCTGACTGAAGCATGAAATGTGTAGTCTTTTTTACTGGATTCAGTAGTAGTAGGTGGGTGTGATTAATTTGAATCTAAGGATTCTTTCTGATATTGTGGAGTGATTTGGATTCTCTTTACCTTTTCGTTTATTTTTGTTTGCCAGGAATAAAGAATAGACGTCTTTGGTTAAGTTTTGTCATGAGCCTATAAATGGTGGCAGCTGTGATGAGTGATCAACCATGATCTTTTATTTTGTGGTATTTAAAAGGTAACTTGGTCACTTGTACAGGCTGTTCCTTTTGCCAAAGGTCAGGCGCTGGCCGATGAATACGGTATCAAGTTTTTTGAAACTGTAAGTTCTGGAATAGTTACTTCAACTTTGAAAACACTTGCAGTGCATTCGTTGGTGCTGTATGTTGGTTATAATAGTAATTTCTGCACTAGGTTGCCGGTTTTCTGTGTGCTCCATTTTTATTTTATTTTTTTCCCTTTTGAATATCCATGTGCATGATAAGTGGATTTGATTCATGTATGCGTTCCAGAGTGCCAAAACAAACATGAACGTAGAGGATGTTTTCTTCACAATTGCAAGGGACATCAAGACGAGGCTGGCCGAGAGCGATTCTAAACCTGATGTAGGCTTTGTTTTCCAATGATCAACAGCGTTTCATTTGTTTATAGATTTCACGTTACTCGAAGAGTTTCAATTTATCTCTTTAGTGCGCTTGTATAAGAGGAATAAGCCGTTAATCAGGGCATTGTTATGACATGTTCCCTCCACAGGCCAAAAATGCGGCGGGCAAACCAGATGTGAAGCTTACTCCAGGGGGCGCTCAACAAAAGCCAGCGTCTGGCTCTTGCTGCTCATAGGTGACCGGTTATTTTTTGTGACATAGTTTAATCTCTTGGATCTATGTCGAGACGAACACATTTTTATCTCTGTCTTGAACTGGCTCCACCAAACAGCTCCTGAAGGCGCTGTGGAGTTGATGCTTGGTTGGGGATTGTAAGCTCGTTGTCCCCGCGCAGAGACTGAAGATTCTTGGGACCATTTCGGAGGTCACATGGCGCTGAAGCATTTAGCCAAATTCTCTTCACCATTTTTTTGAAGCAGCATTGCACAAGGTTTTAGGTTTCTCAATGCTCTTGCAGAATGAGACGCCAAGGCACGAGATGGGCTTCTGCAATGGGGTAACTTGATAATTTTATCAGATTGACTATTCTAGGTATATTTCCTTAGCTTTCATTTTCTTAGTCTCTTTAAAAGTCAAAAGACTGATGACATGTCTCGTGACGTAACTCAACTGTGTAAAATCACCTGGTATTTAAGATCGCGAGGTGGAGAGGTATCAAGTATTGTGAGCAAAATCCACAAAATTTCAATGACTAAATACCAATGGTGTTTAATGCATTTTAAAAAAATTACTGGATATCTTAACCTGATGTCCATATTCTTAGTAGTTTGTTGTCATTGCCGTGTATATGTTTCTAGAAAGCGAAGACTCAGCTTAAGACGGTAAAATATATCACAGCAAGGTGATATGAGCCTGCATATTGTAGCTCTATTGATTTCTGGTTATGAAGTGTAAAATGATTTAGTTTTTTGTGCTCTATTGCGTAGTCTAATACCTTCTAAAGCTTTTTAGGTTGTATTACTTGATTGACATGCTTTGCTTTCCTTCTATTCTTACTTCATTTTATAACATCTAATTATTTGCTTACTAAAGAACCCAAAATAATGTGTTTCTAAACTTTCATATGATCCCAAGTCAACAGCGTATCGGATGATTTTTCTGTACGAACCTATATTATTAAATTTCGACAATTCACCAAAAATGCACCTCCTACTCAACAGCGTGTACTAATAGGTTAAAACTTGTTTCACAAAATGTGATAATGTATTGCAAAAATAATTGAACATTTTGTAATATTTTGTCCACATTTGGTTTTCACATATATATATATATATATATATATATCCATGCACTCACCTTTTGTTACTTTGAATAAAATACACATTATCTTTGAAATTCATTTAATTGATGTTTTGTACTAATCATCTACAAAAATTATAAATCAGTTACTTACTAGCATGTTTAAAATTTGGTTCTTAAAAGCTATATAAAAAGATTCGAATAAAAATAAAAATTTCATGTGCATTCCTCTCTATGATGTATTGCTAAAATTAGGACCATAATTAATGTGCTGAACTATCTCTTAAAATAGTTACACATGCCTTATTCATCAAACTAATATTAGACATCTATTTTTATATATATATATATTTAAAAAGAGATTTACAAAGAATTAAATGTTTAAATTCATTATTCCATTTCAAATTCTTTCTTAATGTCAATAATATAATTATTGATCCTGGTTTATTTTGATTTTGATTTATTCTATTGTTTTTCTATTTCTTTATTTTTATTTTTCTAGCAGTATCATTTTCTATTTCTATCATTTTTCTATTACTTTTTTTTTTATTTTTTTTAATTGTTTTTCTATTTCTTCGATTTTTCCCCATACATAAAATAAATGTAAAGCTGTCCCTTTGTAATATTTGCTACATTCTTAGAGACATTTGCAATTCAGTCAAGGGTACATGTAACAGATTTTAGAGAACATTCGTATTTACCAATTTATATTTTGTACTGTTTTCAAATACATACATACATACATACGTACATACGTACATGCATAATATGTCATTGTCCTTAAATTGGGTCCGTTCTCTCGTTTTTTTATTATAATTTGCTAAACTCGGATTTTTTTAGTTACCACCACACGTTTTTAACAGTTTACTCAAAAGTTGCAAAAATTCGTGTTCATCATACTGACGCATATTTGAAAAAAATCAATAAGTCCCATCGAGTACTGCAAAATCAACTACATCTTTTTACGTCCACTTAGTTATCTAAGTTTCAACGTTTAAATTCTATTTAAGTTTCTACTTTCAATTTCATGAATATTATCTGAAATCTGATATCCATGGATTTATTTTAAGATAATTGTGAAATGTTCAAACATGAGGTGATTGGGGCTTCATAAGAAAAGTAAGTCATTGACTTCTCGAAGAAAAATCTGCAATTTACTTTTCACACAGTCTAACTCTGGGGCTTTGAAACAATGAAGTCCACCCCTTTAATGACAGAAAGCTTAAAAAGGAATTTCATGGATGGAATTTCATCTCCGTTTGTGTTGTTTTTGGAACTATGAAACAATTGGTTTCCGTCAAACTTTTTCCAAAACCTTATACCAGTTGCAAAAGCCAAGTGTATTCTGGTTCAAATTTTACTATATTCTCGAGCTGTGTAAAGAAGTTTGGCTTTAGCATCAAAAGCATGATAAAAATGACACAACATCCAACACGGTTCCAAACAGATAATGGTTCGATTTTAAAAAGTCTCAGGCAAGGTCTCCAAGAAGAAGAAGCTGTCTAAATATACTTAAAACAAAATCAACTAAACCCAAATTAACCTCACCTTACCATTTTTTCAAATCTCACTGCCTCCTTTTTCCTATCTACTTCTGCACCCATATATATATATATATATATAGGCATGAATCGGAAGTTGCAAATGTACCACATGAATGGATATATATATATATATATATATATGCACACACAATAGGACTGAATGAAAGGGGAAGTAGCAAATGAGGTTGGTGGTGGTGGAGAGATGGTGGATAAGTGACAACCCCCGATCCCCAGCTGATATTGTGTGGTGTGTTAGCAAAGACATAAAACAACACATTGCAAAATCATGCCAATCTGTGTTGTTGTTGTCAACCTTTTTCTCACTCTCTCCAGGTCAAAACCTTTCTCTCTTCTCCTCCCACAACAGGACAAGCAAAATAAATATAAATAAAAAACCAATAAAAACAAACAAACAACTTCCTCAAAACTTGCACCCATGATGATGATGGTGGTCAGAAGCAGAAAAAGATAGAAAGATTCCTCGAGGGCAAAGTCAACAGGATGCCTCCTCTCCGATGCAATAAAACACACACACACATTAATAATACTGTGTTTATTTTAAAACTGGGTCCTGTAGTTAAACAGAAGGAGCAGCACCACCAACACCACAAGACAGGGAAGGCTGTTGCTTTTGCTGTAGGCGGCAAGGAAGAGCTCCATGTGCCCCTTTCTTCTTCTTCTTCGTCTTCTACTTGTGGGAGAAATAACATTTTACTGCCTTGTCATTGCGTATGATGTCATGTACATCTCCATAGCAGACATACACACACACACCCACAAACCCAATAATGCCAACCCCTCCTTTTCTGCACGGAATCCTCTAGTCCCCAATTCCCTCTTGCCCAACACACTCACAGATGTGTAAATATATATATATATATATATATATGTGTGTGTGTGTGTGTGTATTATGTAGCTTGGGGCGTTGAAATCTAAGCTGTTTTGTGTGAAGGGTTGATTGGAAAAGGCTAGAAGCCAAGTCGGCCGGAGAGATAAGGATGCTCTAGCGAAACACCGCAACTGGGTCCCCGAGGCTGCGCCAGTTGGTGTAATTCGAGAGGGGTGGTGAGCTTAGCTAATGCCCCCTCTCCCCCTGGTGGAAAATAATTAAAGTCATCCTGACTTCCATGTCTTGAGCTCCGCTTGATCGTGGAGAATTATTTGCCGGAGGATGAATGTGGCCACGTCGAAATGGGGTTTTCCTTGGGGTTCGTGATGCGGATGTGTCGTCGCCGCTTTCTTTCATTCGGCAGCTTGAATGTTTGCCGACGGACGATTTAGTAGCGAAGAAGGAAGGAGATGACGAAAGCTAATCCTAATTCTGTTTTGGTGCCTTGTAGTGAGACGAGGTGGATGATGCTCGGAAGTGTAGATTGAAATTCTTTTTTTCAATTACGGTTTACTTTGCACACTAACGGCGAGAGAGTGAGTTTGTTGATTCGGATCATGAAAACGGGGAATTATGTGAGTTGCTCCATGGCAGCAGGAGCTATTCGAGTTGCATGTGAGTAGGAGATACCTTGGCCCTCGACATGAATGAGGCATCATGAATGGTGTTGTTGAGCGTCAGAGAAGTTTAATTGAAGCATCATGAATGGAAGCAAAAGAATCGACCGAGAGAAACTAAGTGCCATAAAAGCCCACGAGTGTTCATTAAGAAGTGGTTAAACTTGGATGTACGCAGGCGCAATAATAGATCCCCCCAGGGTTCATTAGAGGGGGCTGCCGAAGTAGGTCACCAGTCTCACGTGGAATCATCTTCTAATGTGCAATCATACTGCTGAACAGCATTCTGCTAAACACACCCTCAGAAGATCCGACATAAATTACAACTCGAGATTATAGTTGCAAAGCCACTGAAAACCAAACGAGCACTGAAAGTGTGCTGCAGCAATCCAAGTAATTGCGGAATCTAATCTCGTTATTAGGCAAACCTAAATTGGGCTGTGGTGTGCTATAGTAGGCGACAATGAGCCGGAAATGAGCTCCGAAATGCTGACTGAAACCAGGGAGTGGAGCCTTGAAATGGCAGGAGGCGAGCTATTTGCGACGCTGCTCTTCCTCGGCGCCCACTTTGCCATTTCCGTTACCACGCGGCAAAGCGCATGGAACTCCGTCGCCAGTGGGTCCTCACGTCCGCATGGAAAGCGCACGGCGTTGGCGCGCAAGCCAGGCGCAGAAAATGACTCTGAGAACGAGTTTCATCGGCTTTCAAACCCCGCACTTCACACCCCACCCAATCCTGCCTCGTAACAAGTTGCGGTTGCCGCTGGTAAAACTGATCGCAATAATTTAGCACCTTTATTGTTCCGAATACGCCAATTAGTCGCGTTTCTGCACGACATTCGCGCACACAATTCCAATTCTTTTGAGACTAATCCTTAAGCGCCCTGAACCAGTAAATCCTCTACACCTGGTGCTTTGCGTGACGACTGGTTCAACAAAGCCCGAAGAAGAAGTTAGTGAAATCGTTCCAATTGGCAAAGTCAAGCCATGACCAAAAATTGCAAATATCTTCGTGTGACGAATTCAATTAAGCTTCGACCCATCTCAGGAGAGCCGTGGATACTCTGCATGCGATGCCCCCACCGAGAGGGGATGTTCCATCCAGGTAGTTGCGGGAATTCGTCGTGAGATGGGAAGCATCATCATCGCGTCGCAATCCAAAGCGGTAGTGCAATCTTGCTTTCGGATACTGTACTGATGAGATCCTGGTGAATGAGATGCGAGTGCAATGTGGAATGATCTCAGTTGCAAGTCCAGCAATGCACAGTTGGTTGCAGCATGGCATAGAAGACTGAGATGGATTGATTTGTCCTCTGAGTTGCGGACTCTAGAGGGTAGAAACTGAGAGAGCGTGGGCGGGGTGGGCGAATGTGTGTGACATGGGTTTGCGCTTGATTCTGTCGTCGTGGGCTCGTGGGTTACTACGGAAATAGTGAGTTCACATGTCCTGGATTCTTTTGTTATACATTTTTCTCGGTTTTACCCGGCGTGTGAGAAAAAAGATCCAATCAGGTGCGTGGCTTTCTGCAGTGCTTCGTGGGCGGAAGCACCGAAATTTACTGCCACGCGTAGCTGTTGTGGTTGCGAGTCACAACTGACTCCCTCCCGCTGCCCGACAATGGGTGGCTGGTTTTGCGCCTGGTCTTCGCGGAAGCCAAGCAGGCGCTTCTCCAGTGCTTGCTTTACAATAGAAAGCGCGCTGGCGGTGGCGAACCTATCGCTCGCGAATTGACCCGGGAAGCCTTGGTTTTCATCTGCTTACCCTCATGCCACCCGATTTCTGAATCATCGCGAGGTGATGTTGTCTGGAGTTGCTAGCAAGGTGGAAGAGATCGGGGCGGAGGTTATTGACCTGTTGGGCGGGAATGTGAGCTCGCGCTGGGTGATCCGTGCGAGGATGTCGGCAACGGTGTGCGGCAATGTTGACCGTGGCGTGTGCCTCCGTCGTCGCTAGAGAGTGTGTGTGTGTGTGAAGAGCAGGATCATTGCCCTGCCGTATGCCATCTCCAAAAAGTTTTTTCGTATCGTTATTGATGGGACCAGTTTACTTGGGAATGAGGAAATGATCATCTGTGGGAGTTCGTCATATTGCAATTCTAGTCCGGACTACTCTTTGATCTTCCTAGTCACTGACTTCTTCGTCCCATCGGCGCATCGATGGTCACAACGCGAACGAGGGGGGAACGAAGACGAAGCATTCAGTGTTTGCCAACATTAGTTGAGCTCGTCGTGCAGGTAAGCTGGAGATTTCCTCTCTTTGCCGCATAGGTTTCCTCTCATTTATCTCCTCCCTTCGGAACTCTGGTTCTCATCGAACGTGTAGCTCCAAAAACTGGTATTATAGCCAGGACACCAGTCAAACGTGGTTTGCATGTCGCACAAGTGAATAAAAATGATTTTACAGTTATAATCTGTTAGAGTTCAGGTTGAGTGAGCTTAGTGCAGGGTAGACTGATGGTTGTGGGTTTATCGCGATTCTTTTTGTGCACTTTTGTTCTCTTGTATTGCACCAGCAGTTTGCATGGTGAAACTGGCACATAAATCTGCACACAAGTTGTACTTAGAGTTATGGCTCCTCAGGCCCTACATTACATCATAGGACTGGACTGTCGACGTTCTTAAGTACTCTGGAATTAGGTACTAGACCTAGAGTCTTAGACTATTGCAATCGCTGTCGTTACGATGTCAGTACTTCCTAGATGATATGAAAGGGGAGTTTATTAGATTCAACATACGTCGCTCCGACAAGCAGTTGAAATGCAACATCAGGGTCAAGTAGTCGTTGTGGTCAGAACAGTAAGGATGGCGCGCTGCTTTCTTTCTCATGCATTCCGGAATATTCTCTTGGCTTCGTCGATGCTGGAAGACGTATAGTGTGCAATCGTGGCGCTAGATTAAGATTTTTCTATATCTAGCAGTAGATTTGTTGGTAGTCAGTGCGGGTGGTGCAGAGGAGCTGTTGTTGTACGCCGACGATAAGTTCTGATCACGATTGAGATCACCAATGTAGTTATTGTGCACGCATTGTGGCTAGGTTGAGTCGTTGCAATTGAACCATTGTGTTGTTTATTTTATTTATTTACTATTTTTTCTTTTCTTTTCTTTTCTTCAGGTTAAGTATGGATGTAGTGCACGTGTGGATAGGAGATGGAACTGGAGGGTTCAGGAATCCTCAGCAGTTTAGGCTACATAATGGCCTGGAAAGAAAAATAAGAGTTGGCTTTGTTTAAGGATGTGGCTATAGGCGAAAATGGTAAAACCTTGATCAGTATGTAACTCTCAAGCAATATTTTCCTCGTTTCATTCGATTCCTCGAAGACTACGATTTGCAACATTCTTCGTCATGAAGACTGCCACGCCAAGGGTAACTTCGAAGCCCATGACTAGGGCGACGAATGGTGGGACGTGGGAGCGGGCTTCTACTGCGAAGAGCTCAACGAAGTCACCAGATCCATCTCCTAAGGCCGCTACTCCTCGATCCTCAAGCGCCATTCCAATCCGCCAATCGACTCCCACAAGGAGGGCAACTGGCAATAGAGCTGGTACTCCTCGGGAAGGAAATGGCGCTAGTCAAGGGAATTCACCCAGCAACGGCGCCACCAGATCCTCGTCTGTATCAAAGGTGAGTCCGACGATTTCCAAAGAGAGCTCTGCAACAATGCCACACAGGTCAAAGCAGATTCTCAACCACGACTTCTTGTCGAAGACTCCTAAAAATCGCGGTCCGTCCATGCTCGGTCGTTCGATAGACGACCCATCCGCCATTCATCAGCTCAGACGCCATAGTGTGCCTTTAAGCAAGGTTCACGATTATATGTCGAGGAGTTACGACCACGGCTCCCTCATTTCACTTAAGAGCAACGACCGAGGCAGCAACTTTATGTCACGAAGCCAGGACCATGGGCCAAAGTTCTTATCCAAGAGCCAGAATCAGGGCCCTCGGAGCCTGTCCAAGTCGCAGGACAGGGGGTTGATGTCCAGGTCCCAGGACAGAGGATCCCTCACTTCTTACACAAAATTTCAGAGTACTGGCCCGCGTAAGTTGACTGTACCGGAGTATGGATATGATGGCCGGCGATTGTCCACTGGAAGCAAGGAGACGGTGCAGCAGACCCCCCGCGTGAGTACTGCCATGCAGAATGCGCTTCGGGGAGATCGCGGTTCTATCCATTTGCAAATGGGGAGGTCTGTAGACTCCACAGTAAGTCTATCTACAGCGGCGTCGTCCCCTAGTGATCGTGGACGAGGAGGGCACCAGAGCTTTATGGATCCGTACGAACGTAGGCTAACCCCTTTGCAACTCTCTCAGTCGCAGGAGTACAGAAGCGGCGATATAACCCCGGAAGACACTTCGCCGTTGGACGCACGGGCTCCGACGCGCGGCGGGACGAAGCATCGACAGCTCAAGTCGCCTGACTTCTTCGACGTGAAGAAATTGAACGGAGACTGTGGTGTGATCACTGCCGTCTCGAGAATGCACAACAAGGCCAACGGAGTGAGACCGAAGGCATCCGAGGAGGATCACGATATCATTCCAGACAAGCATCTCCACTCGGAAGCGTTTTATGAAAACAGGCGTGATAGTCTAGCTGGCTCTGCAAGGAAGGCTTTTAGCGTGGAATCTGACTCCGCAGATGGAAGCTCGCATTCCAGCGAGATAAACTACAAGTTGGACAAGGAGTTGAGTGGCGCTAATGACTTGCTTGATATAGGATCCTGGAATGACGACGATGAGGAGTATCTCCGGATCTACAAACTTCACGATCGCAGTGCCGATGGGTCTTTTGTTGACATTTTAGAGGATACAGCGTCCGAGTCTGCTGCAGTCGGCAAGAATAACCACGTCGAGGGCACGAATACATCTTCAGGCAGAAAGAAATGGGGGGAATTCTCCAAAAATTCAGTGGTTAGCAACCATGACGGAGGATTGTACCGCAAGAGCAATACTGGCTCTGAGTTGGATACTTCAACGCAACCCTCCCCACAAGAGTCTCCTCCAAGGGGCTCACCTCCTCCAAAGGGCATTTCGGCAACAAACACTGATGCTGTGAGCAGAATTTCGTCGACCTCGGCGACCAGCATTGACTTGAACCGCAGCACAGATACAACTTGCTCTACTCACAGCCAGTATGACAACACTTTCTGGAGCGATCCTCCTATTAATGGGAATTTCAGACCGTGGAATCCCACACGCGAAGCAGAGATGACGCCTGCTGTAGTTGCGGCACGGTCCTTGCCCATGGAGGAATTCGTTCCTCCTCAGGCAGCTGCGGTACTTGGTTCTCAAGGACCTGCTGACAATTTCGCATTGAGCGAAAAGAGGGCATTGAGATACGACGACGGGTTGGAAAGGCTCACGAGCTACATGAAAAATGCTAGCCAAAGTGCTCGGAAGAAGAGAGGATTAAGCGATGACTTGACTTCTCAAACTTCAGGGTGTTTCGATTATCTTGTCGATTTCTTGGAAACGCAGACGAGTCTCGCGGATGTGCTCGTTTCTGCACACGGTGAGTCTAGGAAGGCCGACTTCGGTGGACTTGCAACTGGAACCGATAAAGCAGATTTTGCGAATGCCAAGGCCATTAGACGCGTGGATTCTAACCCGACAAACGATACAGGTTTGCTTAGCAACAGATCCATGGAGAGCAGGATCACAGATTTAGGTAGTGAGGCTAGCTGGGAGTCCGGTAAGAGTAGATCTGTACAAACACTTGGAACTACAGGGAGAGTCATGGACCAAATTACGGAGAAAGTCGATTCTCTGTCATTCGATAGCCCTAAACACTTGTCCACTTTCAAGTTTGGCCTCAAGAAGACCACAGTAGGAGCATTCGAGACTATTACTAGCTCTGAAGACCAAGGGCGTCAATCCAAAGCTGATGGACGTCAAGAGATGTCGGCCCCGTCTAGCAGAGCTACATCGGAGCGGTCGTTTCCCCTGCACAAGATGTCGGCACAACTCAGCACGCCTCAGTCTCCAATTTCTAGCTGGCGCTCACATACAGCACCTAATTCGCACAAAACATCGCGTAATCCATCTCGAAATCCTTCTTGCAATCCGTCACCTAGTCAATCAAAACGCACGCACTCAGGTAATTTTGGGATTGCGTTCTCCAGTTTCAATCAGTTTCTGTAAAGAAATTTTTTGTAGTTGCAACGATAAACCCCTTACTCACTATTTCTGCACCTACTCCGCTGACACGATGTGCTTGCAAAATTGTGGCAGATGAGAAGCCCTTGAGTAACAGCCATCAAATGCCATCGCCTCTATCCATGTCTGCACGACATATAAGCGTTGTGTCAGAAGGTGATGTTGGGCTGAGAAATGGAGAGGGTGTGTCGAGCCCGTCTAGCTTCGACAAGCCAGTCCCCGAATTAAAGCCAAGTAAAGGCAGGGAAGCGAAGCAAGTGAAGAAAAGCTCTGTTGCTTCCATGGAGAAGAAAACGGAGGGACCTGTCTCACCGACAGTCGAAGCTCCAGTGAAGTATGTGAAGATGCATCCTTCTCACGATGGCAACAGCGACCAGAAAAGCCCAACGCGGGTTGAGCAAGTGAATGCGACTCCATCAAAAGGTATAGGCAGAGGCGTTGTAAAGCATGACGATAGAGAGAGCCTCACTCATCAGCTTAATCAGGCCAATCAAGGTTGCGGTTGCAACATCTTGTAATACTTAGGCTGTAACATTGATCTACACAACAATTTCTCGCACAACAGTGCGTACACAATATTGTCCATCGGCGTACCCAGCATTCATCAAATGACAACGTCCAGTACAATCAAGCAAATTATTAAATGGAATATGCTAAAGATTTCGAAAAACAGGGAGATCCCTATTCTCAACAGTTTACAAAACTGAGTACAATGGACAGCCACCAACTAATACTTGAAACGCTACAAATAATATAACTTTGGTTTTACAGACTGCAGACTGCTATTCCAGGTCCTCAAGCTCTACATCGGATGCATTACTTGTAAACAATCTTCTCATGCAATTGAAAGAAGTTGCTCGTTCAGAAAAGACTTGCTAAAAGCTCACTAGCCTGCATTCCACTAAGTAGAGCACTCTCTACCTTTGGTGCTACGCAGAAGTCCCCACATAGAGCAATACGTCGATCTTCAATCAGCACACACTTCTCTTCGGGAGCTATGGGAGTTGTTGGAAATGCTCCTCCCCTGCAACAATCCAGATCAACAGTCTTATCCTTCAACCCGGTACTAAATTATTTAGAACTATTACCTGGATATTATATCTAAGTGAGGCTCCATAAACGTGCATAAAAGAGGACTGAATGAAGAGCAAAGATTAGTACCATCGATGTGCTTTCATGTAGATGGGTGTCGGCATATCTGGAAGCAGGGATTGGAATCCTGTCAGTAAGTCACTGGCTACAGCAGCAAGCAACTCATTCGAAGGCTTGCCCATGCCTGCTTGCGCAATTATACCAGCAGCGTACTCTGCAGTCGAGTGCACCACCCAACACTCACTGCACCACATATACTCAACAAAAATCAGCTACTGGGTACTTTAGATTGAATGAATATACCCACGTGACGTTTCAACTACTTAGAAAAATAAATAAAAAGGGTACCGCTGCAGTGAAAGGTTTTTAAAAGTTAATCAATACTCATATTAGAGACAGCCGGAGAGCTTATGAGTAACCTTGAAGTTTTGGCTCGGCCGGGTTTACAGCTGTCACGGGCTGCCCAAGAGACTATCTTTGATCCCTCTACAACGAAACCATCCAACGGTATCTACATGAAGACAAAAGCGAGTCATTCAAGGGAAATCATGAAGTAAAGGTAACAAAACCATACAGACTTATAGATCTAACACAATCTGAAGATAAAAAAAAATAGGGATGGAAAGGTTGAGTTCATAATCAAATGTATTTAACGTCCATCGTCAAAGACCATACGCTCCTCTAGCTCTGTTAATGATTCAAAGATCAACAACGAAGTTGTCACTGATCGAGAACAAGGAGCTAACAACCATTCATTGCCAGCTGCTTAGAGTAAACTTACCAAGGTAAGAGGCGAAGAGAAGGCCATCATTACAGCAAAGCAAGGTGCTGCCTTCACAGCAGCAACTTTCTTATGCCATTCAGGAAATCCAGCTCCCTCTACGTTAAGAGCACAAGTAAATGAATCAAATGTTGCGACTTAGCACTTCCAGGATTACAAAAATCAACGCAAAGTGAGTGGAGAGCATTATTGAATCAGCTAGATGATTGCTAACATGCATCGCAACTTCAGCTTTCTAAAAATCCATTGAACAACCTTCGTACAAATCACTAGAAAGTATCAGACATTTATTGACCAGAAAAAATTAGAGAAGTTGAATCCCACTCGATATGGTGAACGCAAACGGCATACGGAATTGATAACCACTTACCAAGGAGAAGTTTAGCTGCACCTTTGTCGGCCACAACAACAGCAGTGAAATTTCCCAAGTTCTCCCCATCTTTGAATTTCAAGCTCCATGTATCCAGACCTTCCACCCAGTCAAGCCCAACGACTTGAGCACCATACTTGGCTTGCACGCCTAATTTGCAGCTCCCACAGTTTCGTCAATCAATACAGTCATCAGGTGTTGCGGAAAGATTTTCCAAACCGAAAACTTGTTTAATATAGGCAAATTACAACAAACATCTATACACAATTGGTCAACATATCTACCTGGATGAGGAGAAGAGGTAAAACCCTATTAGAAAATGGGGTAAAGCCCAACTTCACAAATTTAATTCTGTCAGACCAAACTAGGATAAGCATCACGTTGGTTATATTCTTGTACATAGTGGGTAACCGAAATGATACCTGGTGAGGTCGTAAGGGCCTTGCATATAGCATTCATTCCCGGAACACCTACATACCTCTTCTTTACATCCTGTTGAACATACAAAAATGTGTCCAAGATTAAACATGTGGTGCTGTAGACAAACAAGAAACATACTGCATTTTAACTCCAGATTCTTAAAACCAAGTGCTCGTACCGTATCTTCAACAAATTCTCCAGTTGCGACATTCAAGGTCCCAAAACGACCTTCCCAATCAGCAACAATTCCTGAGGCTTGCCACTTATCAACGAGTTGTTGAACTTCCGCAGTTTTCACAGTGAAGTATTGAGCTCCGTGATCAAACATAAGCTCTGATCCATCTTCAACTTTCTCCCTATTAATGGATACAATACATAGCTTATTCACTTTCTCCAGTGATAGTGGCATGCATGAATATATTAATCCTGAAATAGCTCTTCGCAATCGACTTGACGTGTACGTCATGAGGAAGAAATAAATTGTTTACTTACCTGCGTTGGGACATACGACCACCTGGGCCACGCCCGGAATCAAAAACTTTCACACCCAAACCCTTCGCAGCTAGTAACGAGGCGCATACTGAACCCGCTACTGCATAACAACCAACTCAATTTCCGTCAAATTTAACATAAAAGATGGGAGCTGGCAAACCTTGAAGTCCCCTCCGGAGTTATAAAATAGCACCGAAGTGCAGCACCACGTCTTTTACTACCTCTCTGATCAAAACATTCAACAATTCAAAGCCAGACCAGATCCCAACAAAGAAGTCATGTGTGTGAACGTTTGCTTGCCTCGAATTGGACACTCTCCGAAAATAAACCCCAAAAACCCAAATACTTCAACCAATTGCAAAGCAACCTATTACAAGCCTTAATCACTAGACCTACACACGCTTGCCCGAGACAAAACAACCACTACAAAAATGATTTGTATTCAGCGGAATGTGCAACACTAAAAGCTCAATAGGTTGTTCAGAAAGCTACATGCACGATCACATGAAAGCAAGAAACAAAATATCAGGGAGATAAACCCACCTCCAGCACCAATGACAGCTACCTGGGGAGGTGACGAATCTTGCCCAGAGAACTCCATGGACGAATGGGAGCTGCTAAAACTTGCTCTACATGCATACAAACTCCTCCTGCGGCAACTCAAAGCCGCGGAAGATTGAAATGGGATAGGGAGAGACGAAATACAGAGACGGTGCAGAAGATGAGCAGAGTGGAGACGACGCAGCAGCATTGCGTTGGCTCAAAACTGAACTACACCATCACTTGCGACATTTGGCCAGGTGCTAATGACTCCAGGCGGAATTACTGACCATAATGATACACCCACAGCTGGCTATTGAATCTCTTCACCAATGTACATGGAAACGTATCACTTTCCACGCTATGGATGAGAAACCAGACTGCAAAATCGTGGAAGGTCCAATTTAGGGAAATCGGTGACCAGACTGGAGATGCGCCGAGACTCGAGTCCCGACTAGCTAGACCTGAAAAAACAGAATTTCTCATTATCCTAAGACGGCAGCCTTCATCTTTCCTTCAGCCAGCAGTCTTGCGAAAAATTATTCGGATCATAAACTTTATGCACAAATGTCTGGAAAGAAATCCAGAAGAGCGTTCGCTCAGCCAATGAAGGACTTGCCTGGCAACACTAAGTCCATCGGTGTATTTCAGCGATAGTTGGGCTGCTCGAAAGGAGTGTAAGTAAATTAAAAGTGAGATTATATGGTTTATGGAAATCGGAGAATAGCTGGTGGACAATGAAATCACGAAGTATTATATTTCTTTCTTTCTTTCTTTCTTCTCAAGCTTCTTATTCCGCAAATTTCTGAATATCATGTGGTGGCCCAATCGTTTACGGCTGAATTTCCCGAAGATGGATTATTTCCTTTTGTTATTAATTGACCTGCACAAGAGTTACGTATGCTGTGCAGTGAACTAATTGGCAGCAAAACAGTTTTGACAGGAGTTCCTCAAGGCCGATGTGTTTGTACACTTTGGACACTTCCATCATTCTCGTCTTGAGTAACAAGTTGGCGGTCTGTCGAGTCCCACTGGTTGTCGACAGGCAAATAAAGCCAGGACCAAGTGGTGCAAATATGATATAAACGCTGATTTCAGAAACTTTGATCCAGGCTTTTTATGGTGTTGGTCACGAGGCTTTTTTATTCAGTACTCCTTCAAAACTCTCCGAGCTACATTTATGCCCCCTTTCATCGTTCAGGTCACCAGCTTCACACACTCTACGAAATATGCTCAAGTCCTTAAGTCTGAGCCAAATGCAAACCTCGTAGTGTCGCAAAGACAATTTCCATTCAGTAACAAATATCATAAATGCGTGTCAAGAAAAAATGTAACCTCACCGAGATTTTCGATACAATTTCGTAATTGCAAGGACCTTACAGATTCAAGAACACGGAAGAAAGTGTAGAATCGGAATGACCAGCACCACCCAAGGAATGTCTTTGGGTGTTAAGAATTGAAGATCCTAACATACAACCCGAATGAGAAATCTCTTCTACATAAATGTTTGGCGCAGATATACCCTCCGCAAAAGCTCCTTATTATCAAAACTGGTTTTTAAGCAGAGAAATCACAGTCACAGAACGAAAGTAATTCTGAAAGAGCAGACACCTCCGCCAGCCCTGAAAAAATTGTTTAGGCAGGAATTGCTCCGAGGTTTCTTAGATTATCCTCGACGAAAGGATACATCCGTTGAATTTTGCTGAAATAAAGCCTTCTGTGCTTGAAGAACAGGTCCGTAAAACGCAGAGTGGGCCACCATACAATCTTTTAAATAATGTGTCTTCTGTGCGCGTGTTCACTGCAATGTTCACGTCTGCAGTCTGTGCATCGTCAACACAAGTCTCTCAAGCCTGAAACCGCTTTCCGCAAGGACCAGACTTCATGAAAAGACAAAATCCGCATTCCTCTCCGTCCAGCTGCACGAGTGATTATGCTAAATATCACAAGCGACATAACTCGGACACATTCGGTATTTCCCGGGCTAGAAAAAATAGAAATGCAACCTAGGTGTTTTAATTCGGACCTCTAGAACTCTTCGCTTCCCACATGGAGGATACAATTCAACAGCTAAATAACGACCCATAGGGCACAACGAAGTGCCAGAACATATCCAAATCTCAATATTATCCATCACGAGTCTCCACTTTCAAATCTTCTGTGGTGACCCAATTTAAACTCAATTTCCTAGTTCATTGCAATCCGCTTCGAATAGTACACAAAGTCCATACTTTTCATGACAGCGAAGCAATGAAACCATGAAATTGCACTTCGAACTCAATTGTCTGGAATGAAAATTACAGTTATGAATATTCCGGACTTTGTAATTATAAATCCATCCCATTTCACCGGTATTGCCATTGACAGAGTAGGAATCGGGGAGGTAGACATGGATGACCAGAACTTGAAGGTGGATTCAATTCCCTCAATTAGGATTAATCATTAGAATATAAATTATGCGTTGTCATTTTGTAGGGAATCGGCGGGTCCATACAATGTAGTCTCCTCTCGAGTGAAGGTTCGCTCCACATTCACCTCTTCGTGACAAGTTCCTTCAAATCACCACCGTGCTCAACAACTATGACCGCAGCAATCACCGGTTCACAAAAGGGCACTTCCTCCTGCTCTGATACACAATCTTCAATGACTTGATCAAGAATGAAGAGTCCGGCTCTCCCCGTAGTAGTCTGACATTGAGCTCGAAAAGGGCCTGTCATGACAAGTCTTTAACATGGTATCAGAATTGAGAGCACACTCTTTCGATTCTCAGGTAAGAACTACGCGGGATGGAGCCAAAGAATGAAGATCTACCTGCAGAAGGAGAAGCTGTGGTACGTCCTACAGCTGGATGTGGTTATAGAAGCTGCAATGAAAGCAGACGCAACAAAGAAAGAGAAGTGGTCAAATGATGACCTCCAAATCAGAGACATGCTGATGATGATTCTGGATGATTTTTAGCTTCGCATTGTCCAAAGGAAGAAGACGGCGAAAGAGATGTGGTATGTGCTCAGCAATTACCACCAAGAGAAGCTGACAGCCAACAAAATGCACCTGCTGGAGAAGCTGCATAACTTCAAGATGAGGCTTGGCGAACAAATCAGTGAGCTGTTGACAAGGCTGGAAGATCTCATATCCCAGCTTGATGCTTTGGAGCAATCCTTGAGTGATGATGACTTGCTCATCACAATCTTGAAAGTTTTCAGACGAGAGCATTCCCATGCTGTAGAGGCACTGCAAATGCAGGCGAACCTTTCCCTTGATGAGAAATCTCCACAAGTTGGATGTAAGAGGAGAAGATGATGCAGAAGACAAGAGTCTGAGCATATTTATTGGAGCGGGAAAATGCTTCAATTGTGGCGAGTGTGGCCACATGAAGAAACACTGCAAGAATCCTCTCAGATGCTTCAAGTGCACTAGCATTTGGCACATCTCTTCAGATTGTCCAAAGAACAATACTCCAAGCCGGGGCAGAGGCCAAGGTCGTGGACGTGGCAGATGGAGGAGTGGAGGATGCGGTGGTGGAAGTGGTGGTGGTGCCTATAACGTGGAAGAAGAAGAGAAGAAGCAAGACACTGGAAGAAAGCCTAGCTTCACCTTCCATGTCTCAATTGAAGAAGACGAAGCTGCTGCTGAAGAAGATATTCTAACAGCTCAAGTCAATGTTATAGGAAGTCAAAATGAGTGGCTGATTGACTCAGGGACAAGTCAGCACATCTGCAATGAAAAGTCCTTGTTTTTCAAGATGGAGAAGCTGCACAGACCGAAGCTACTGGTCATGGGAAACGACAGTGCAAAGACAGTCGAGTATGCTGGTGCAGTCAGGCTTGACTTTCAAATTGAAAAAAGAGTACTGCAGGCAATCATCCCTAATGTCCTGTATGTATTGCAGATGGAAAGAAGTCTCTTCTCTGTGAAGATAGCAGCCAGGAAGGGAGTGAGAACAGAATTCTCTGATGAAGGCTGCATCATGAAAAACAGAGAGAAGGTCGTTGGAGATGGATAGTCTATGAGAGGTGACTTGTACAAGCTTGTGTGGAGGAACCTGGACACATTCAGATGAATCTAACTGAGAAGGACAGCCTAATGTTGCGACACAAGAGGTTTGGCCACCTCAGAGAAAAGAATCTGAAGCTACTGTTGAGCAAACAGATGGTGAAGGTATTGGAAGTCAATCCAAGTAGAGAAGTCACACCAGACTGTCATGGATGCACAGAAGAAAAGCAGCACCATGACTCCTTTGAAGAGAAGGATCAACATAAAAAGTGAAACAAACTGGAGTTCGTTGAGAGATGTCAACCCTGCAATTTGGGCGAGCAATTCTTACGCACTGACTCTCATGGATGATGCCACCAGGAAAGTCTGGGTCTACTTCATGAAGCAGAAGTTAGATGCTCTTGGCATCTTTCAAGAGTGGAAGACGTTGGTTGAAAAAGGGAGTGGGAAGCAAGTCAAGATCCTCAGATCTGACAATGGAAGAGAATTCACTTCAAAATAGTTCAAGCAATTCCGCAGAAGTGAGGGCATCAAATAGTAGTTGACTGTCAACATGAGAAACAATTCTAGACCTGTTACTCAACAGAACGACTCAACAAGACCCTGGTCGAAGCTGCAAGAGCAATGGTCCATGATGTTAAGCTGGATAAGAGATTTTGGAGAGAAGCAATGTTCACATTTGCCTATCTGAAGAACAAATCACCCTGCGCGAGACTTGACTGGGTGACACCATAAGAAGCATGGAGTGGAGAAAAGCCTGATGTGAGTATCTTTGGGAGCAAGTACTCAATTCACATATCAAGAAAGAAGAAGTCATGGAATGGAATCTTCATGGAATACTATTGGGAGAATTATACTATATAGTACACTAGTCTCATGTATAGAATACTATCTACTTTGTATTGACCTTACACCAAGAGTTGTGACTCTTGATGTCACCCTTGTACACACAATATATTGTATATCAATATATCATATTAATAATACTATTGTTTCCAACATGGTATCAAAGTAATAGAAAATTCAATCTTTAGAAAAAACTTTGGTGAATACTTTATTAAGAAAAGAATTGTTGAAATTACAAAATAGTTTATAATGAAAATAATATCAACAGAATTCATTATAATAGAAAATTTTGATGAAGAACTTGAAGTTCTTCAAAGCATGAGAAACAATTCTAGACCTGAAAATGGCAACATACAATCCATAGCAAAGATAAAATTGAATTGATTAAAAATAGATTTATAAATAATTTTAATTCTATTTTAAATTAAGAATTTTGAAGATGATACAAAAAGTGGACATCAATCATGTTCCAAAATTTGATGGTTCATATTTTAATATATAGAAACATAGATTAATATTAGCTTTCAAGGATGAAAAATTATAGTCCATAGTAAGTAGTGAAGAATGCTTACCAATAGAACCAACAGTAGCTGAAATTGTTGCCGGAGCCCCAGCTTTACCTACCATAGGAGTAGATAGTATAATCACATGGGTAGACAAGAATACCTTGTCTTTAACCATAATCAACAATTGCCTAAAAAACAACATTGTTTCACATATACAATCTTGCACATCAGCAAATTCAACATTGTAAGAATTTATAAAAATATTTGAATCACATGATGCAGTAACTAAGATGTATTTAAAAGATAAATTATAGACCTTAAAAATGGAGAAGGTGATAGTGTTATTAAACACATACATACTTTTAGAACATATATGGAATAATTGTTGGAAGGAAGATCAGCAATTCCAGATGATGAAGCAATTCTCACTTTAATGAGAAGTTTGCTACTAAGTTATAGATCCTTCATTAGCTTTTTAAGAATATAACCTGAGATCACATTAGCATCCTTGATAACACATTTCATCCACGAAAAAACATTCATGAAAAACATGAGTTTAACATCTGATAATAATTTAGCCTTATATGTAGGTAAGAAATTTGAGAATAACAACAAGAAATCTTATTTTAATAATAATTTCAGAAAGAATTCACAAGGAAAGAGTAGTACCTCCAAACCACATGAAAAGAGCAATTTTGCTATTGACAAAAAGTGTTTTTTCTGCAAGAAATCAAGTCACTTGATCAAAGATTGTAGAACAAGAATAGCAACTGAAAATTGCAATAACAAAAAAGAAACAAATGTTGTTACCAAAACAAATAAATTATATGTAGCAGCACTTATAATTAAAGAAAACCCAAATTCAATGTGGTATGTGGACTTGGGAGCAATTCAACATATGTGTCAATAGTTAGAAGAATTTGTTGAATACATCAAAAGTGAAGACAAACAAGTTGTCTACTTAGGAGATGATACTACATCATACATAATAGAAGGACATAGTGATGTAAATATCAAACTTACAAATGGTGATGAAAAGATCATATTTGATGTATTACATATATCAAGACTTGCAAAGAATTTATTCTCTGCCAAACAATTAAATAAAGCAAGAGGAGAAATTTGCATAAGAGCTGGCATCACTACACTTATAAATAAATTTGGTCAAATCATTGCAATATGTAAATTAAATCCTTATTTATATAAATAAGTTACAAAAATACTTTTAAATAAGCCTTAAATTGCTATTCTAATAACAATATAATTAAATAAAGCTAATTTATGGGACCTAAGACTAGGACACATAAATCCTCAAAGACTCAAACAAATACAAATCATGGCAAAGATGATTGATTCCTTTGATGAAAGAAAAATTATCTTATGCCAACCTTACATAGAAGATAAATAACATAAGAAAAAGTTTCCTACATAAGATGCACAAAGAGCTATCCAATTATTAGAACTTATATATTTTGACATTTGTGGTCCTATGCAAGTAGGAAAACATTCAGGATGTACTTACTTCATTACATTTATTGATGATTTAATATGATATTTCCAAGTGTATTTGATGAAACATAAATCTGAAGCATTTGTAAAATTCACCTTATACAAAAAAAAAAAATTGTAGAAAAACAAACAAGTTTCAATATCAAAACCTTAAAATCTAATTATGGAGGTGAATATACATCCAATAACTTTAAAGATTTCTATAAAAAAGAAGGTATTAAACAAAAATATACTATAGCTTATACACCACAATAAAATGGTATTTTCAAAAGAAAAAATAGAATATTAATAGGAACAATACTTGCAATGCTATTCTATTCAAACTTATCTAATTTTTTTTGGATGAAGCACTCCAAACAATAAATTACCTCTAAAATAGGAGCCCTATAAAATCTATATAAGTTACCAAAATACCATTTGAATTATGGTACAAAGAACAACCAAATTTATCATATCTTAAAATATTTGGTTGCAAAGCTCATGTATTCATTCCTAAAGAAATCAGAAAGAAGTTAGATTCTCATTCATAAGAGGCTATCTTTGTAGGCTATAGTGAAGAATCTAAAGCCTATAGACTTATGAATACACAAAATCAGCTAATTCTTATTTCAAAAGATGTTCTTTTCAATGAAAATCTATAAGATCCACAAACAACCACATACTTGTAAAAAGACAATAAAGAATTTTTACTAGATTAAAATTATTCAAACACCCTTCAATAAGTATAAGGACTAATAAGCAAAACATACCTCATGTTCAAGGCATTTCTTTCCTACCAATGCCACCACCACAAGAAATACATGTATTTGATCAACAACCAATACATAGTACTTCTTCAAATGTGGGAGAACAATCCCCTTGTCACATTGATGTCATAGAAGACTCTTCTCAACCATCATTACTAAATGATCAAGAGATCTTACTTCTTAAAGATGATGAAGTCTATTCTACATTACAAATTCCAAATCTTCCTTTTTGTTCTAGACCAACAAGAATTATTCAACCAACCATAAGGTTGTTAGAGTCTATACAAGGCAAAAAAGAGTATAAACAACAATGTAATTGGCACCATCAAGCCTACCTTCTTTCTAGTCATATACAAGTTCTAAACTCCATTCAAGAAGCAATAGAGAAGGTTGATACTCAAGAATGGCAAAAAGCAATCAATAATAAAATTACATCCTTAAATAAGAATAATACATGGTACATGACAAATTTACATCTTTATTGAAAACCAATGAGTTCAAAGTGGATTTTTAAAATAAAAACTAAAGCTGATGGAAGTATTGACGAATATAAAGCAAGGTTAGCTACAAGAGGTTTTATCCAAGTTCAAGATATTGATTACACAGAGACATACTCTCCTATAGTTAGACTTAATTCTATCAAAGTTTTTCTTTCTTTAACTGCTCAACATAATTTGAAAATACATCAACCAAATGTTAAAACAATATTTTAAAATGGTTTTATAGAAAAAGACATCTATATGAATATTCTTGAAGGATTATCTTTTACACATACTAATAAGGTATGTAACTTAAATAAATCCCTACATGGTCTTAAACAATCATCTAGAGCATGGTATCAATGATTAGATCAATACTTAATCCTTCACAAATACCAACGCCTCAAATCAGATACAAACATATACATCAAAAGAGAAAAAAATAAGGATTTTATCATAATTATAGTCTATGTTGATGATTGTATTCTTATCAGTAACAAGCTTCTTTTAATTCA